AAAAAGTATAACTTAAATGCCCCTCTCTTGGTTTTTTGCCTTCAAAGCTGCCTGAGAAATTTCAAGATGTTACTTTGCTCCTTATGATGTAATTTTTGGCCTGTTTCCTTTTCAGTTTATATTTCTCCCACTCCACAACCCCCACTCAGGACTTTTTCCTAGTGATAAACAGTTTAGGGCTGGCTGTGGCCGTTTGGGGGGATCATTCAGTTTTAAGCAGCATCTTCACCCTTCTTAGATCCGTGCACATGAATAGTACAACCTTCCTGGGGTGGGGGATGTCCACTTGCTCAGGCACCTCCTCTAGTCATCAGAGTGGAGGTGCGCAGACAGCACGAGACCAATCAACAACAACAACAAAAGAATGCCCACACCTTTATCTCTGAGGATTGGTCGGACCTCTGCTGTGAGAGCTCTTCTCTTTAGCAAATTTTTTTCTAATCACCAGTGATTATCAGTGCATCTTGGTGGCATGCTTGATCAATTTCAGACTGCAGAAGTTGGTAAACATCTTCAATTTCTTCATAATTAGCTCTGGTGGTTGGTAAATAAATCTGAATAGTCATATTAATTGGTCCTCCTTATAGACATATGAATATTATACCAACACTGATAGCACAGTACTTCAGGAAAGATTTTGAAATGTTCTTTTTGATGATGAACGAAATGTCATTCTTCTACAAGTTGACATTCTCAGCACAGTAAACCTTGTGATTGTCCAGTTCAAACTGGCTACTACCAGTCTTAGTTCACTAATGTGCCTAAATGTGAGACGTATAAGATGTGCTCTCCTGCAAAGATTTACAGTTTTGGAAAACCTACAGGATCACTATGAGTTGGAAACTACTCGACAGCACGTAACAACAACGTCTAAGATACTGATATATATTTCTATTTCATTTGGCCAATTTTAATTTTCCTAGATAAATACTTCATACATTCCACATTCTAATTACTAACGGATGTTTGCTGCTGTTTCTCCTCGTTACATAATTATATGCAGTTAGAAATTTAAATAGTAATAATAAATGCAAGGAAAATCAGTTGACAATATATCTACAGATCAAAAGAAAATATGTGCAAATGGTCAAATAAGGCCTTTAATTTATAAGCCTAAAAATAATGTCTAATTTTTTTTTACTTTGCTTATTAAAGACTAAAAATACTTACATATTCATCTGGTGCAGCTCAGCTTGCATTGCCATCAGTAGTTCAGACAAATTATCACAAATGGCAATGGACTTTTCTGAATCAGAAGATACAGCTCTGCACTGGGGAACCCTACTAGGCTCATGGAGACATACAGGCTCGACTGCTTTAGAATGCTTCTGCAGGGTGTGCGGGCCACAGTCTTGCATCCTCTGCAGGAGGTTTTGCATACTTGTATTCACAGTATGGCTTGCACTGGCTGACTTAAAGGGAAAAGAAAATGTTGAAAACAATTTCAAATGACTGATAGTATTTAAACACTACTTATAGCAAAGGAGTTTCTTTAAACAAGTATCTTCATTATTTTGTCCGTACCTTCCCAGACACAAAAGGTGGTGCTCCAAACCTTGAATAACTTTGCTGAGGTAGTCCTCTCTTTAAACATTTAGTTTTCTAATGAATATAAGAGAAAAAGAAAAAAAAAATTATTTTGAAAGAATTTATGATAGACTTCAACAGTAAAATGCCAACTAATACAATTAGAAAATAGAAAAAAAGATATAGACAGATACTGCCTTGTTGAGGAGACAGAGATGGCAAATAAACATGTGAAAAGAAATCCAACATCATTAGCCATTAGGGAAATGCAAATAAAAACTCATATCATGAGGCTCTTACCAGAATGGCCCAAATAAAAAATAGTTATATCATTGCTGGTGAAGATTCAGAGAAGCTGGATCGCTTACCCATAGGTAGTGGGAATGTAAAATGGCACAACCACTCTTGAAAATGCAGTTTCTTATCAAACTAAATATCTAATTAAGCATATGACCCAGAAATTGCACTCTTGGGTAATTATCCCAGAGAAATAAATGTTTGTTCACAAAAAAACTTGTATACAAATATTCATAGAAGCTTTATTTTCAATAGCCCCAAATTGGAATTAACCCAAATGTCCTTCAACAGTTCAACATACCAGGGGCTTCAAAAAGTTTATGGAAAAACAGAATTAAAAGATCCTAAAAAATTTCCATGAAATGTTTTCATATTATGGGATATCCAAACCATGAAATAATATGGAACAATAAAAATATTTCTACATGCAACAACTTAGATGGATCTCCATAGAATTGTTGTTGTTGTTGTTAGGTGCCATCAAGTCAGCACCGACTCATAGTGACCTTGTTCACAGCAGAACGAAACACTGCCCGATTCTGGGCCAACCTCACTACTGTTGCCACACTTGAGTCCATATAATTAGGTGAGTAAAATAAGCCAGTCTCATTTACCTAACTTTGTTGAAATGACAAAATTATGGGTGATGCAGATAGTTGAGTGCCTAGCCCAAAAGTTGGTAGTCTGACCCCACCCAGAGGTACCTTGGAAGACAGGCAATCTGCTTGCAAAAGGTCAGAAACTTGGCAAACCTTGCTCTGACACATAGGGTTTCCATGAGTCAGAATCAACTAGACAGTAAATAACAACAAAAAGCCAGTCACAAAAGGCTGCATACTAATATGCTGTTTTTGATGTCAAGTGCCGTTGAGTTGGTTCAGACTCAGAGACCTGTATAGGTTTTCCAAGGAGTGGATGGTGGATTTGAACTGTCAACCATTGTGGTTAAGCAGTCCGAAGCTTATTCTACAGCATCAAACCAGGACTCACATACTATATAATTCCATTTATATAACATTGTTGAACTAACACTTATATAGAGGTAACCAAAGGTGATTAGTTTCCAGGGGTTAGGGACATAAGGGTATGTGTTTATAATACGATAGCACCAGAGAATTTTAAAGTGGTGAGGCAATTTGTATCTTGATTGTGGTGATGATTACATGAATCTAGACAGCAATCTAAAAAAATCCAGAGAATGGTCAGCACAAATTCAGATTGTGGATACTCCTGGAGTATACAATGGCAAGTGGTATATGTAAGGCTTCAACAATGTTCTACTTCTTAAACAGGGTGGTGAGTATACATAAATATTAATTTTCTCAATATTCTTTAAATGGGCATTTTTTTTTTCCATAAAAAAGTTTAAAAGACATTGCTAGCTACATTTGTATACTCAAAAAGTTATTTAAATTATTTTGTTAAACATTCTTATTGAAGGGAGTAAGCATCCCAATTTGTCCATGACTGGGGGAATGCCTGGGATGCAGGACTTTCATTGTGAAAATCACACAAATCAGAAGTTAGTTACCCTCATTAACACTCAGGAAGAGAATAATCCACAAAATGACAGCATTCAATAATAAAAACAAAAAATTCCTAGTTCTAAATGGAAATTTAGATACTTTAACTATAATCAGTAGATTTTAAAAAAGGAGAGAACTAAAGAAATAACATGGCTTAAAGGCAGATAAACCATAAATGTATGTCAGTTCTTAATCTCTCAGAATTACTTGGTGACCTTGGACAATCTATGCCTCAGAACCAGAAATTTCAACTAACGGGAAGAAAAAAAGATTCCGTCTAATATTAGTTATAGAAGTTACAATTAAAAGTAAAAGAAACAAGTTAATTCTCCTAGTCACTGAACTGAATGAGGCCTCCACCTCCAGTTACATTCTAACCGTTTAGAGGATAAGAACATTCTGAACAAAGGCTTTCACCATCTTCTCACACTACTTGGATGATCCCCAAATTGTTTCCTTCCAAACTTACCATCTCATACTGTGCTAGCTACCACCTGAAAGTACTGCTCTAATCATGACTATGCTTCTCAAAAACCTGCAATGGTTTGTAACTTCTTACAGAATAAAAGTTCAGATTCCCAACATGGCATTGGAGGTTGGCCATAATCTTCCTGCAATTTATATTTTCAATTTTAATTCACTATGCCCCAGTTTGGAGTCTCTGTGTAAGGTCAATATTTATAAGCTCCATTACTAACTGAATGGTGGGCAACTGCAATTACCATACACCCAGAGGCACCTTGGAAGAAAGCTCTGGCTATCTACTTCCAAAAAATTGACCACTGAAAATCCAATGGAGCACAGTTTTACTTTTGATTCACCTGTGTCAACATGAGGTCGATTTGACTTGATGGCAATGTTTTTATTTTCATATACCCCCATCTCACCCCAGCACTGAACGGTTCCTGTCGGTTCCTGTTTCCCCAGACTGTACTGCACTTTCCCTCCTCTCTGTCAATACTTATCAATTCTCTAAGGCTGCCTTTATTGCTGCCTCTTGCATGACCCCTCACATGTTCTTGCATCTGAATAGCACACAATTCTTGGTATAGGCCTAAACTAAACTTTTATTTTACAATGACTTATATTTGTATATTTATTTGCTTTTATATATAAATCTGTTTTATCTTGTTATCACCTACTAATAAAGTGTGAACTATGTATTTTTATACAGTGGTTTTACTGTGTATGCAAACCAAAAAGTGTAGGTTAAGTGAACCTAGGTCCAGGAATGGAGAGATGAGTGGGAGTCCCACAGAGGGCCTTGTAAAATCAGACACTCCCTTCAGCAGCATTAGTGTTCCTTCCATCTTAAAAACACTATTTGTGTTGTTAAGTGCCGTCAAGTCTGTTCTGACTCATAGCAACCCTGTACAGGGCTTCCAAGGAGCAGCTGGTGGGTTTGAACTGCCGAATGTATGGTTTGCAATCCAGTGATGATCCTTCAGCGCCACACCAGGAGTCCTTACTATTTGTAGAACCTAGAACTTGAGAGTTGAACTAGGTCCTTTTTTAAAAGCCATTTTTGTTGTTGTTACTGTGAAATTCATGTAACATAAAATTAACCATTTTAAAGTGAAGATTTCAGTGGGATTTAGTACTCAAAATATTGTGTAACTACCACTTCTGTCTAGGAGCTCTGGTAGCGTAGTGGTTACGACTTGGGCTGTGAACCGCAAGGTCAGCAGTTCGAAACTACCAGCTGCTCCGCAGGAGAAAGATGAGGCTTTCTACTCCCGTAAAGATTTACACCCTCGGAAACCCTGTACAGGGTCGCTATGAGTCGAAACCGACTCCACGGCACATAACAACAACAACAACAACAACCACTTCTGTCTAGTTTCACAACATTTTCATCACTCCACAGGAAATCTCTTATCCAGTTCCTCTCCCCAACCTGTAGCAATCACCAACCTGTGTCCTGTCTCTATATTTAGCTATGCTGAGCATTTCATGTAAATGGAATCATACAATACATGAACTTTCAGGTTTCTTTCATTTAGCATAATGCTATTAAGACTGAATTACTGTGTAGCATGTATCAGTTCTTCATTCCTGTCTTTGTGACTGAATAATATTTCATTGCATGTTTATACCACAGTTTATCCAATTATCTGTTGACGGACATTTGGGCTGTTTCTACCTTTTCACTCTTATAAATAACTACCACATCTATGAACATGAACGTACATATACGAGGGTCTCAAAAAGATCACAAGAAAATGGAATGAATAGATAATGGAATACTTCCATGAACTTTGGTAAGTCCCATTTTCTTTGTTGAGTACAGTTTTCAGTTCTTTTGAAATATATACAGAGGAGTGGAATTGCTAGATGAGGTGGTAGTTCTCTTTGTTTGGAGTGAACTGATTCTCTTTTGTGAAGTGACTTTATTGTTAATGACTCTTCCTCTTTCCAGGAGCTCCTTTGCTTTCCTTCATTTCTTTTATCCTATTTCTCTCCCTGTTCTTCACTATTTTTACAATGAATCTGTACATTGTTTAAGAATAATTTCCATTAACTCACCAAAGAATGATGTAACACCTAAATATAAAAATAGGTCTGTTGTTGTTGTTAAGTGCTGTCGAGTCGGTTCTGACCCATAGCGACCCTGTATACAAAGTTTCCGAGGCTGTAAATCTTTACGGGAGCAGAAAGCCTTATCTTTCTCTTGCAGAGCAGTTGGTAGTTTCGAACTGCTGACCTTAAGGTTCATTGCCCGATTCGTAACCACTACGCTACCAGAGCTCCTTAAAAATAGGTCTAGCTATTGTAAATAATTTGTGCAAACAAGAAACAAAAGCAAATAATTAAAGAAGGAAATTAGCAAAAAAATAATGCAAGACTGTATTGGGGAAATGTTCTTTAGAAGAAAGACAATTATGAAAAAAGACCCAAAATATTGACCAGTAATTCTTATTTATACAATAAAAGACTATCCAAAGTTAAGTATAACAGTCTTTCCAGGATAGTGTCCACAAGATGGGCCTATGGCAGTAGTCAGAATTCTCAAACAGCACCCCAGGCCCTCACAGTGAATGGCTCACAGAAAAGCTCACTACATGCTCATGGAATCAAAAATAATAGCAGTCACCTAAACTATAATTTTAGAATCATAGGGGTAAGGGGTTAATTTTTTTTTCTTGGCATTCTACAAAACTGTTATTAGGTACTGTCGAGTCGGTTCCAACTCATAGTAACCCTACACAGAACAGAATGAAGCATTGCCCAGTCCTACACCATCCTCACAAT